ACCGAACTAAACAGATGAAAGAAGCTAGGCCATGCAGAAACCATGAAGACAATAAAATATTAGTATGTTATGAAGAAAAAAACGAAGTACTTCACAGAGATAATACAGTATATTATAACGATTGCTCTCGATATAGAAACACATGCAGGGATCAACGACGATGAACATTTCCAAATCTTAGCACTATTGTTTAGTTTATGTTACATAATTTATGAACGCTTTTTCTGTGATGTTATCTTTTATGTGGACGCCCATATTCTACGTTTTGAACTTTGTAAGGCCCTTTATGATGGTAAATTTAAACATTTTTCAGGAGATTAAAGCGGGAGGGTCGTCACCTGTGCACTTGCGGGAATTGAGTCTCAAGCGACGATAACACACGCTAAAAACGCAAAGGCTCATGGGTATACGCTTGTTTGTAAACAATGACACGCATCTGATGCATTCGCGGGTGACGACTTCTCCGCTTCAAGAATAGAGTTGACTTTTCAGAAGCTAAGAAGTCAGAAGCCAATGACATCGATAAACAAAATGACAGCTTACATAGTCATAGAGGGCGCATGTCAACAGACCGGGAGAATATTTAGCAGTTCGCTATTATTGCGTGCAATAATACACTTTCCTAGACACTCCAGTGCCCATTGTAGACGCAATAATACATACCCGCCCACGTGACAGTTAATCAAAACACCGGACTGTCAATTTCAGTTCGTTTGAGCGAATCGAATTAGAACGGAAATGTTTTCTTATCGTTTACAGCCAATCCGCAGAGACTGTCCTCCATTTGACATGTTGTATATGCAGATGAGGCAGTGCTCTATAAATACAGTGAACGAGTGGTGATGTTCATACTCGAGCGTCAGACAGCACAGCAATACTTTTAAACTTATTTTTGCCAATTTTTCTATCGCATCATGAATGTAGTTGCCGTACTTTTGACGCAACTACGGGCTGCTAGGGGGCCTGCTGGCTGGACGCGCCATCCCATGTTATACTTGTGTATGGGAGTTTTGGGGTAAGCCTTTGATGTGTGGCTACGAGTGATGGCGTAGTTGGACTATTCCATTGCTTTGTAGGTACACAAATCATTGCTGTGTAACACATGGGAAATATAATACGAACATAAAACTGGGAATGAACATTAACAAGAAATGATAAATGTAATAAACTTTCTTTGATTGGTTGTGCATAGAGATCTTGTCAATGGGTTTATATTATTAGCGTTGTGAGTATCGCGTTCTCGTATACTATGATTGGCATGTGCTATTGCCAGTTTGGCAATGATAAAAAACAATCAACGGTGATCACTGTTTCAAATAGCATTGCTTGTTTTTGTTTTCTGGAAAATAGAAAACAAATTAGAATGACTAACGTAAATAATGGTGAGCGATCGCGAAAAAAAAACACGCACAAAACAAACGACCTGTGTCTCTTGCGAAGTTTGAGATGTTGTATAAAACAGGTGCGCAGCGCGGCAAGGTCGATTGCATCGCATATACAATACCTTCCATCGATAAAAGCTTGTCCACTCTACTCAACCACATTATACTTATCATGAAACAAATGCATTTACAACAGCAAGCTAAAAAAAGATATGCCAAATTTTAACATAGCTATAGCAGAGGTGAGATACAATAACAAGTATGAATGGGATAATGGAATAAATGTGTAGTGTAACAGTACAGACACTGACATTTGCAATTGATCAATTAGATTGTAACTTATTGAATTGTTGTGTACTGCTATATTATTGGGCAAGTTCAACATTATATTTTAATATTATTATTTTTTATTTCGAACCACCGGGGAAGGGGACAACGATTTCGTCGTCAAGAGTTCAGTGTAGCTTAATATTTCCAATGTTAACTCAATGATACAGTCACCCTATGACAACGCAAAACGTTAAACAATAAAAGTGCTAGCTGAATATATTATAACAAAACGACAAATGTCATACGTATGTATATTCTGAAAAGGGTAGTTCTGATTATTCCAGAAATATAATTTTATCCTTATTACCCGAAAAACGTCGCTGGTTAGAAACCTAGTCAGAGTCGATGAAGGCGCATGAAAAGGGTACATACAAGTCGTTTGTGTTTTCGCGATCATTTCATTATTTTGCATTTTTGCTATTTTCAGGATTTTTTTTCAATTTCTTCATTTTTTAAACATTCAGAAACACAATACGACTAGTAGTTTCCATGCGACAGCCCTCGACAAAATCTGCATGGTTTAACAGCAGCGAGCGTGGACGCGTAGGAACGGTGCTTGTCGTTCCCGTTTTGTCGAAAGCATTACAGACGGTAGAGACGGTGCTAGAACATTTTTTTATCATACATCACCGATCAGACGTCGGTTGAAACTGTGACCCCAATCAAATACTTGCTGAAACAATGGCGACGTAGAGTTACGAGCCGGGGGTTACACCCACTACACAAACAAATCCGGGTAGTGTCTTTTGAGAACTGAATGACCGCGGAGACCTTGCTTTATCATACTATAATGCAAGACACTCTATACGATTCTATTTCATTTCTTGTCACTTTCATGCAGTTAACTGAGGGGGAAACGACTTTAGCTCATTTAGAGAAAAACAATCTACACAAACTTACAAGGAAAATTACAAAAGAAATTAAAGCTTCAGAGCGGCTTCGTCGATTTTGACGGCATAATATGCTTTGAAATCCACCCTTTAATACATACTTTATTTTTCTCATAAGATGCTTTGATAATATATGTTACACGCAATTTAGAAATTTGATCGGTTAAAAGATTTATGAGACACACATGCCGCCATTTTTGCTGAAAATCAAAGATGGCCGCCAAATGTGGCTGATCATTTTTGTTTCCATAATAAGATTTAGCCATGATCGATTGATTAGGCACCCATGAGAAAACTAATGTATACAATTTTTTGGCATTTTACCCCGATATTCAAGATGGCAGCCAACCACTTGATTGATCAGAATTATTTTATATAAAGGAGCTTATATCACGTGACTGGCGAACATTTTTTTTAAACATTGGCCGCACTACTAGTAAAGACACTAGATAAATCCGGTCATCACAGAACAGCACAAAAACAGAACATTCCGTTCAACAGTATTCTCAAGGTTTTCTCAAGACGGCTGAAAATGCCAAAAAGAAAAACGTGAACAAAAACAAAAGGGTACAAACTTACTTGAACCTTTAATATAAAATGAAACCCGCACACGTTTTACTGACGAAAATCATTATAGCTCAGATCTAATCGCAGGAAAACATACTCGCACAGGTTTTTTTATCTCAAAACATCAGACACTGACCTAGTTTACGTGATATTACACAACAAGTGCAGCCGACGTGTCGTAGTTACCTAGTTCCATATTAACAAAGGTTTCATTTACGGTACTCTGTGAGATTATGTGAACGTGGTAACTGGAGATGTTTTAAACCACCGTCCCTTGAATATGCAGTCAATGGTGCTCTTGGCGAAGTAAATAACACGCAAAACAAGCTCCAAAATACCGATCAAGCTTTCATGACCACCTTATACTATATTTAGAGTACTAACAAATTCCCACTTCCGGTCCGGTTAGACTTAAAATACACCACGAATATTCACTTTAGAGATATAATTTTTGGTATGTGTTGGTTCTTTGATTTTTCATCTTTGTCGTCCTGTACTTCGTTTAGTAATTCGAACTTCCCAGTTTGCGTAAAAAGTTTCGCTCATTTCGACATCGAAAATGCCTTCGCTTCATTATTTGCTGAGGGACGGCCACTTGGGTACAAAAATGACCTTGTACTAAAGTCCAAAAAGTACGTTCAATGTCTTCATTTTTTTCGTAGCATGAAAACGATTTGCTTCTTCGCTTATTGTGAGACCCTCAAATCAACTGATTTCTATT